TTGAGCCATGTGACTGGGAATTATAAAATTCCTGTTTTCCTCTCTGGTTGTTTTTAGTGAACAATGACACACTGTCCTGTGATGTCACTAGGCAATGATCACTAGCCTGCATTGTCAGTTTTAAAGTTTGTGAGTCATGTATAGTTCTTTAAAACACTTGTAAAGACAGATAGACACTAAAACTTTGAATTTTTGGCAAATTATTGAAATTAATAATTATCTAATGTCACAAAGAACAATGCAAATAAATATAGAAGCAAACAAAAAAGTGCCCAGGTAATAAGAAAAATGTTTTAAACTCAGTTATGAATCAGCCTAGTCTCAGATGTTTCTGGGCTGTTTTTAAGCAGTTGCTTGAGTATGCTATAGTCAGGTTTCTCACTAATCCCAGCCCTAACTCTTGGCCATATACCCCAGTTTTGATCTGCCTCAGGCTCCTTGGATTCCACCTCAGATTTGTTTCTCTGTAGCTTTTATTCATTGCTCCCCTTAGTGGATTTTGGCTCCTCTTGACTTTCTTGGTTTTCTTGCTCTGTGTGACCTCTGATGGACAGATCCTTCTCATCCCAGTGTTTCAGTTCACCCCTCCATGGCTACATGGGAAGCATTCCCTGGCCGTCTTTGCTTAGGATGTTCCTGATGACACCATGCTTGGGTTGAGGCAGACATTTAGACAAATAGCGTATGTATGTTCAGAAGTTATTTAAATAATTGTTTAAATGTCTTAATTATTGATAATTACTTTTTATGCAAACGGGGCAAAAAAGTTAATAGAGTACAGCTTTGTTTCTCCAGAACACTTAAATCTATGTTATATTAAGTTACAACTTTGAGCTAATGAATTCCCATGTTAATTGTGTGGCTAAATGGCCATGCAGTACATTTACAATGTAATCCACCCAGGAGGGGGCATATACCTTGCAGAGATGTGGCCATCTTTCCACACTGTGCTTAGAATTCTTCTTTATGGAGAAATGGGAGCAAACATGGCACATTTTGTGAAACGTGAGTCTATTTATTCCTTACTCTTTCCTCTTCTCTATTAAACAGTCTTGTGTGCTGCTAATATATAAAATTAAGAGCTAAGTTGAGTGGCTAAGTCAGCAAAGGCTCTAGGAGTTCAGGGAAGGAGGGTAGTCAATGAATTTGAGCAACTAGGGCAAGTTTCTCAGGGAAGCCTTTGAAGAGTAAACATTATGACGTCAGAGGGGAGAAAGAGGCAGGGTTCAGATGAAGGGGCCCGTTTTGGCAAAAGGAAGGAAATGCAGAGAACATGGCACAGCAGTGTGAAAGCATTTAAAGGAGGCTGTCAAACATTTACCATACCTTGGGCTATGATGACTAACAAAGTAGTTTTCTTTAGACAGCAAGTTAATACCCTCAACCAATCCCCTTTTGTTGGGATATATGCTTCTTAGCTGTACTTTATTTTTTTAAGTTCCAGGAATCGAACTCAGGACCTTGCGCTTGCCAGGCAGATGCTGTGCTGCTGAGCTATATCCCCAGCCCTCTTAGCTGTACTTTTTAATCAGATATTGACTTTATCTGGCCTCACAGCTTTCATTCTCTCAGGAGCCTGTGAGGCTCATGAATGAGACTTTGGAAAATGATTCTTTCTGTACTAACCAAATTTAATGGAGAAAGTAGTTGTCTAATCCTCCCATTTCTTCAACTTTTTAAAAACTTTTTTCTCCACTCCATGCTAGAATCAAATATTTACCAACTTATGTTGAGATTTCCTCTTCTGTTTCCTTGGTATTTCCCTTATTTAGTTTCCTACAAATATGGAACATTAAAATTTTTTCTTAAGTGCTCTCTTTAGATACCATTCCTTCTCATTCTGGTTCATGTAAGACAGCACAGTAATGTGTAAAACATACTGCTTTCAGCTAGATGCAGTGGAGCACACTTGCAATCCCATCTACTGAGAAGGCTGAGGCAGGAGAACTGTAGGTTCAAGGCCTGTCTGGGCAACCCAGCGAGACTCTCAAAAAATAAAAAGGGTTGAGGATGTAGCTCAATAGCAAAGTCAGTACAACAGCCTGGGTTCAGCCCGAAGTACCACAAATAAATAAATATATGAAAATTTTAAAAATTAGAAGTTGTTGCTTTCATATCCTTTCCTTGATAAAAATCCCTACATTTTATTTGTCACTGACGGATAAAGTTCTCTATAGCTCAGCCCAGTTCATCTCCCACAGTGCCCTCCAAGATTCCGCTAACTCAAACACTGTCCACCAAACCTCACTGGAACAACAACACCTATCGTTATTCCGGTCCCCACTGTGCAGTGCCTCTATGTCTCCCCGCTTGAATTCCTCATGGTCACTTTGCATTTACTTCTTTTGTCACTAGACAGTGCTATTTAGACACTATAGTCTGGTTGATACCTTTCTATTCAATTTGTTCACAGGGCTTCTTCCCTGTGGTTAAAGTTTTTTAACTCTTGTGATGCTACCTATATATCAAGTATTGTGATTTATACTTTCTCATATACCTGTTGTTTCAACTAAACAATAACTGCTTTGAAGACAGGAGACTTTATTTCTGACCAAAAACTGTTTTCCCACATGACTGGACTTATTTATGGCATTTATGTGATATATGATATTTATAATAGTGATGATGATAAACATCTCCAGGTGACTACATGTTGTTGAAAACGTTTATTTCTAGGAGAAGAAACTAGAAAGTTCTAGACTCTATTGCTTGTTTCTTAGGTCAAAGCCTTGTGCCTCAGGAAAAAGGAAAAATGAAGTGGGTAGGGAGCAGGATCTCCTTTCCATACTTTAGATATCCTGTTTGCCATATTTGTTGGTCACCATCCATTTTAATTTCTTCAGTATCATTTCAGAAGTTAATAACAACAATGTATCTAAAATCCTTATGGGCCAGCTATTATACCACACTCTTTGCGTGCTTTATTTTGTTTAGTATTCATGCTATGCTTATAAGATAATCATTACTATATCCATTTGGCTGACATGAAACTGGACGCTGCATATCAATATTGCAGAATACATCCATGGTAAGTTCAAGATCTTAATTCATCATGAAGGTGGGTTAAATACCTCATCTTTCTCAAATTTCTGTTAAAGGGAAGAGCCATTAAGGTTTCAGTGTAGGATTTATGAACCTCTGGAAAGGTGGGAGAGAAGCATAACATGGTTGATTAGGATAATGTTTTCCACTTTCTTCACCACACAAAGTAAGGGAAGGGAGATGACACAGATTGACTATAAAACAAGGTAAGCAGGTTCCCTGACCATGTGGATTGTTGAAAGTGGCAGGTTTTTACAGGTAGGCATGACGTGTTGGCACTTGTTCTTCTACTTTCAAAAAGAGATAGTTCTTATCTTCCTGTTCCTAGATTATTTATTGTGATAAAGACGTGGAACACAGGATGTTGAATACAGAAGATTAGGAAAAGAACCATTCAGAAGCGTTACATACAATTGATGAAAGAAAGGCTTATTATCTTGCTTATTCTTGTTCTGTCACCATGAAGTTTTTTCTCTTTGTAAAGGAATCTGTCTTTCCAAGTAGGGAAAATGATTTTTAAAAAGATAAGCCTGAAAAAATTAATTTAAGCTTAGCCATATTAGGGTAGCATTAAGGCACTCTCGGGTACATTTTATTGGTCCATTAATATAGGCCCCGAGTGGTTGAATACACCTAAGGCATGTACTGTATTAATGAACCAATAAAACATGCCCTGGAGTGTCTTAATGATATATTACAACCATTTCTATTACATACATAAATGCACTATTTGCTGGCTGTCTTGCATAGTTTTAAAGAAAATCTTCAATTAACCAAAAATATTGCATCAAGAACTCCTACCCACAATAAAAAAAGGGCAAGAAAGAATCTTGTAATTAACTTCCTGGGCTAGTTACCCATGAGGTGGTTCTTCGAATCTAAAATTGAATACTTTCAGGAAAGGAAATAGAAGAAAGCTGACAGAATTCATACCGTTCTCCTTCTTAACTTAAAATATGGCGCCCTGGATGGTGGTTATGAAGTTAATTAGATATTAATGCCTGTATCCAAATGTTAGCTCTCTGTGCCTACATTAAAAAGATGTCTTTTAGGCATCTGGGAAGAATTTCTTCAGAGAGATGAGGAAAACCCCACATTCATGTAAGTAAACAAGATAGGTTGAGACCAAGACATGAAATCTTATAAAAATATCTTCTCCTAGGAGACACTGAGTTCCACTGTGTCAACTTGATTGGCTTAGGAAATTAGCAAAACACATTTCTGCATGTGCCTGGATGAGTCAGGGAGGTATGACTGTGGTGGTTACTATACATGGTTCCTGACCTCTTACTCTCCGGCACTGTTTCCTTGCTCTGCATCCTGGCTGCCATAAACTAAACACTTCTGCTCTGTCATGCCTTCTGTCTTTGCCTTGGAGCCCCGACCATGGACGAAATCCCCTGAAACCTTGAGCCAGATCAAACCCTTTAAGGGTATCCAGTACCCTTTTAAGTTGTATTAGATACTGTGCCCAGCAACAGGAAAGCTGACTATGTACATTCTTATTAACTCAGTGTTAACCTTGCTGTTTTCCCTGCAGTCACCAAAACTGATGCATTCCTGTGAGTGGGAGAAGCAGAAGGAGGGATGGAAGTATAATATTGGATATCATTTATTGAGTGATTATTATACACCAGTGCTCTAATAATTTTTAGATTAATTATCTCCTTTAATCTTCACGAAATCTCTCCAAGGGAGATATTGTTACACTTGTTTTATGGTTAAGGGGCTCCAAGGTAAAGTAGAAACTTTCCCAAGTGGTGGATCTTGGGATTGAAACCCAACTACCTGAATCTGAAGGGCATATTCAGTCGGATAAACCTTAGTGTGGTCACCACGAGGGAAACAGAGAAAAACATGAAGTTTGTGTTATCTTTGGCTACAGGTCTTTTCTAAATTCTATGTACAAACTGATTACATTGTATATGACATTTTCCTCCTTCATTCCTTCTTTAAAGGTGCATAAGTAGAGGAGAGAGAAGATGATGACCTTGAAGTGGCCTCACAGCAGAGACTTAAAGGATGCAGAGTAACATGCAATAATCTAAGACCCCATGGAAATGGATATATTGCAGTATGGTTGGATGCCATTGGTCAGAAACAAATAAAATGTGAATGTGTCATCACATGACCATGAAAAAAAAAGAAGACGCCTTCCCATCCTCATGAATGATGGGGCATTAAGTAAACTTTCAAAAACTGAGAGAACTACCTCTGAAATAATGTGTGAGTGGAGAAAATTCTCACAATAGTCATAGGCTGAGACAACAGCACACTGAGTGATTAACCCTAAATTTAACCATAGAATAGACTGGGGGTCAAGTTGTAAATTAATTGCTAAAGATAAGCTAATGTACACACACACACACACACACACACACACACACACACACACACACCTGAAATTTAAACACTAAGTTATTGTATTCATAAGGAATTGCTGCAGATTTGTATCCAGGCAGGCTCTGTGCCACTGAGCTAAATCCTGGGCCCAAGACTTGTATCCAAAGCCCATTGAAATGACTATAATCATTGCTTGTTCCTGGATTACAGGTGATGTGTCAAATCTCAAAAATGGGCTTTTGTGAGGAATTATATTTTAGTCTAACTTTTTCTTTGAAGAGATCTGTAAAATTTTAGGAGCTTCATGTTTTGTAAACACATTCTGAGCCAACTGAATTTTGTAAGCCTGAGAAATCATTGTTGAGGAGTGTTTCTGCCTTGATTTGATTTTTACTCATAATTTATATTTGCCTCACTCATTCAGCAGTCAGACAATAGAACTTCCACTGGCTTCATTTTCTGAAGGGCCTGATCCTGATGTTGAAAGTCACAAGGCAATAATTTTCATTCGGGCTTTGGAAGGTAGAAAATTAGACAAAAATAAGACCTAGTTAAAAAAAAAAAACCTGGGAAAAGCAATTCTACCACAATATCTTTAAAATGCCACATATCCTGTTTATAAATGTGACTCCTCATCTAATTAAATATTTAGGATTATTATTTTAAAGACCATACATGGTGTTATTTATGATGAAATACTAATTTAATACTACTCAGTAAATCCATCATGCAATTTCAGTAGGCAAATAACTGCATTATGTAGGTGTACTGTGTCTATTAAGTGACTCATCTATTGGCTTATGTTCAGAGTAGAAATCAGGCCATCAGTTTTCTGTCAAATTGCCCATGCAGGGGCTGGGGATTTAGCTCAGCCGCACAGTGCCTGCCTGGCAAGCATGAGGTCATGAGTTTGATTCCCGGTACCAGAAAAAAAAAAACAAAAACAAAAACAAAAAACCAAATTGCCCATGCAAATCACCTCAGAGTGGTCTGCATCATATAACAAGACAACATAAACATGTGGGAGGTAATAACAATAGCTGGACATTTATAGTAAGCAATTTAATTGGTGTACGATCTCACAGTTCTTAAAGTTAAACACTATATGGCACTAGTTTTCTGGTGATGGCCTCTTTGCTGGCTTTAATAAGAATAAGCTAAATGTATAAGTTTATAAGTTTTATAAGCACTTTCACAACCCCATTGGATTCTTCCCTCCAACCCTATGACATGATTGTCCTCATTTTCATTTAAAAAATTACTACTCAGAGAGGTTAGTGATTCACCTGAAGCCATTAACCTGCTAAGTGACAAAATGGATTAGGAGCAGGTCTTCTTATGATAGTCAATTGTTTTAATTTTCTCCATCACAAGTCTGGGACATCAACAGATCAAAGAACTAAGTCAAGAAAGTTTACATCTACCTCTGGGGCACAGATTTTTAAATTTTTGATAATGCCATGGGATAGACTGAAAATTCTTTCAGTGAATGAGTTTGATAGATGAGAGTTACAACTGAATCTAAAAATAAAATGGGTCCCTGATTTAAAGGTTAAATGAGAGTTTTAGACTTTGGCTTATTCAGAAGATTTAACTTGGCTGTCAGGTGCAATCAATGTGAATTTTACCTAAAATTTACAAAATACTTTAGTTTTCAATATAGATAATTATTCATAATAATAAAAGTAGGAAGCCCTCATAGGACAGAGAGAAATGCACCTGACACAGTGTTGAAAGGTCTGAGTTTAACAGCAGATTCTCCTGTGTGGGTTGGAATTGGCATTGAAGCCCTGTGCAGCTTAATTTTTCTAATTTAAAGAATGAGAATAGCAATACTTGTTTCCTAGAGGTGTTGTAAGTATTAAACTATAGAACATAGAAGTTATTAGCCCTTTGATGAAATTTAGTATATTAATGAACATTCCAAATTGAATGCAGTGGTTGATATATAGGTCCATGCACCTAACTGTGGGGATAGTGTTTGTTATGGTTATCAGATTCTTAAAGGACTGTGTAAGTTGTAGGTGATTCAGAACTATCCCTGTATGCAAAAAGCTATTTAAATTGTGAAATGACATGTACATATTCCAGTTCAAGGATCAAGAAGTAGGGCCCAGAAAGGTGGTGGGGAACCAGTAATTTTCAGGAGAAGAAAATGTTTTTCTGTCCTCACAAACTTGGATTGGAATTCTATAAGATGATTTCGGTAGTCAAATTTGCATAAGACATAAATTACCTTTAATGGCAAAATCACTTTCATATATAATAAGTTTAAATATAGGCTGTTAAATGGTGCTTTTGAACATATTCCATAGATGATAATCTGTAATTTACTAGTTTCTCTCTTTTTGAAATTTTAATGTATGTGAGATCCTTTCTTTCATGATTTTCCTTGGATGATGTCATGGAATCTTTTAGTGTAAGATGAAACAAGTTTTCTTGGATCCAAGTAGGTAAGTAACCCGGTCACCTGTGACTTTGACTGAATATATTGTTTTATGCACATACTAGAGACACATCAGTCCTATCAAGATCCACTATTTGGAATTACTAACCATTTATCTTTGAACCTTAGTCCTATGACTATTTTTCTTTTAATGTAGTAAACAAAAATAAACTTACTCTGGAAGGTAATGTGAGGATGAAAAAACAGTACCAAAAATCTTGCTTTGGAAAATTTCCCCTGAAATACTAAAGAATCAGCATCATGGTCTTAAAATAGGCTGGGGCTGAGCAGTGGAGCAAGAGATTTGTACTTTAGATGTGCTCTTGCTTTCTCAGACACAAAGGCATTATTGTCTAGGGGAACGGATTCTGCTATGTACAGAGTGTTGAGAAGATAGTGGGATTTAGATCTCGCAGCATCCTCCTTGGTTTTGGCAAGGTTGAGAGCAGAGGGAGCTACAGTTGCTCAGGAAGAATGCTGCATGAACAGTGTGACATTGTAGTGATAGAATGGAAAAGCCAGACGGAATAGAGTGAAATCAGTCAGCATCACAGGAGGAAATATACGGTGTGTTCCAAGAGAAGAGTTCAAGGAATATCTAGTGGAGGTTACTGGCAAAGATATAAGTGCAGAATGGGAAAGTAAGGTAACTCTGTGGTAGAGGATGCCCCGAGACTAGCAGTACTGCATCCTTTCCCACCCTCAGGTTTGCAGGGGTGAATCACCTGGAAAGACAGGGTCTTATAGAAAGGGCACCTTCACAAGAGCTGTGGGCTGCTCTTTGTCTGTTTTATGGTTTTGGGGTGGAACCCAGGACCTAGTGTGTGCTAAGCGTGTGCTCTCCCACTGAGCTTGAAGGTGTGGTCTTCATTGGTGGAAGGCTGCAGCTCAAGGTGACTCCACAGGGAGGAAGTTAAGGGAGAATACATACTCCTCCTCCCCTTCCCTCCTTTGTCCTCCCCTGTCTTGTCCTCCTCTCCCTTCCACTCTTTTCCCCTCCCCTCCTCTGGTATCCTCTCCTGTCCTCTCCCCTCCTGTCCTCTCCCCCATTCCCTTCCCTCTCCACTCCTCCTCTCCTCTCTTCCTTCTCTCTAATCCCATGCCAGGACTCTTTAATGGTAGAAATCAAGTAGGAGCCAGAAGCCACAAGATCTAATTGGTGTACTCCTGCTACTGTCTGCCTGCAGGATAGGGTGAAGAGTGGATCTGGGAGAACAAACAAGCCCCTGGACTTGGTGCTTTACAGTCCCAAAGGTTTTCTTCTCCTTGTTGCTCCATGTCCAACATGAGCACATAGCCAGTATCTCCACTCCATGCCTCCTCACTTGAAAACTTACTTTGGAGCAGAGTAGATATCTTTCTGACACATAACCAGTTGCTTTAGTGAAGAGAAAGGAGATTGTGGATGACCTCAGGACAGCTGTTAGACACTTTGGTCTTAAATAACTCATGCCATTTATACTTAACCAGAACTGGTTCAGGGCACTACCCAAACTCAAGGGAGTCAAGAAGTCCAGTTGTACCCTAACCCTGAATAAGAGCATGTGATAAAGCTGAGCAGCACGAATAACTCCACAGATAACTCTTTTACTCAAAGCATGCTGATTTCTAAATTAAAGTAAAGAAGGGTATGGATCTGCAGAGTAATTCAGGCAAAATTTAGCTTACAAATAATTTCTGAACATCTGGCCTGATGTTCAGTAAAACTTATGCACAAATCATACCAGAACTTGAGGAAACCAAATCCTTACCATTGACTGAAACAAGACCCTAGAAGAATTTTTGTACATTACTACCATCAAAATATTAATATTTAAATTTGAAAAAGACTTTTGTTAAGTCAATGATATGGTATTAAACTTTTTTTCAAGGAAATTTATACAAAGTTGTTCTCATTCCCCACTCACAGTCTAAAAGAGAAAATTCTAATCTGAAGAAATGCAACAATTTTTAAAAAAGAAACTCTGATATTTTTATTTTTGGGTTTTCTTAGGATTTTATTTTGTGAATACATGTGTGCAGCACATAATGCTCACATTCCTTGTAGGAAGTTGGTACATGTACACAACACATCTTAATTCCTTTTTTCATTCCCTTTCCATTCCTTCCCTCCTCCCTGTACTCATCCCTTGATCCCTTATTACCCACATATTAGTAACTTTTAAAATTAATCTACAATGATTTTAGAAGGACTGAATGACGTCACTCATCATGTAACTTAATCATGTTCCTTTTCCTTCTAGCGGTACAGCATTGTTATTTATAAATGGACTAACACAAGCATTAGGAATATCTAGCACTTTCAGATTAAATCACATAATATGGCACAAACATAACTGGTGGGAAAGAGG